ATAAACAACAGGCTACAAAACATAGCCCTCTTAAAAGTTATTATATAGGCCATTATCGTAGACTGCAAAATAAGACAATTTTCAAGAATGTGCGTTTACAGCAAAAGCAATGAATTAATATTATCTTTTTGGATTAATGGATGGTTAAATTACAACCCAATAAAATAAGAATGTCATGTCTTGTAATTACTTTCCCGTAATGATCATATTAATGGTAAAATAGTGAAAATCACGCACTTAAGGCAAAACAAAATTCGTCTATTGATTCGCCTATTGGGTCTGATGATGGTTTGGAGTGTCCAATCGAAATCGATCACCACTTACCACTTTTTTTTGTATATTTGACGTCTTGTGAGTAACAGTATATGCGTAGATATATGTTTTAAGTGTCACAAGGCGTTTCTTTATTTCATTTTCCGCTAACTTAATAACACGTACGATGCTGATCAAGAAGTTATTTAGCAAAACAAAATGCACTTAACATGGGGATGGCAAATCCAAGGAGTCTGTGTATAGACCCATATGTTTATAACCTAAAAAGATCCGCGTTTGAAATTGCAGTAACGAATGCACTTGCCCCAGTCTCTTTGTTACCGCAGTCAATCACAACAAGTGGATGTGAAGTGAGTACAGACCGAGAACGAGACCTGGCCTTGACCTCAGTATAGTCTCACGGTCCATGTGGCTGGGGGGGGGGGGGTTCTGTCAATGGAACATACTGTATCACACAGGCAGGTGACTGGGTTTGAGGATAACTGGGGTGTTAATCGTAGAGATTCGGATAATGACGTAACGAAGGAGGAAGGGGTTGACGGTTAGTGTGTAAATGTTTAGTGTGTGAATGTTTACCCTTATGAATCACGAATTGTTTGACAAAATGTCGTCATTTATACAAGTTAGAAAAATATACAATAAAAGAAGATAATTCGTACTTTATTTAGTTGTAAAGTAAAGGCAGTATTGACTGTATAAAAATAATGTGCTGGAAATTAGTAGCCTATATTTAGTAGCCTTTTTTTATATGCAGTTCCAAAATCTGTATAATTTTTAAGCTATACAATTTCGATTTACGATTTTAGGCTGTACTAGTCGTAACACTGTAGATGCAGTGAGAGGAGCTATTTGTGAACCTGGAACTTGTCGATGTAAAGGTCTATAGTAGGCTCATAATTAAGTTATATGGAATATTTAACTTTTTGACTTTGCGTAACACTTGAAGAAATCAAAATCTTGATATAATGCGCAATAACGCATGGTTCATGAATTCATAACTAATAATAACTGTAACAGGCCCACAATAACCAAGAGGTACAAGTATACAACGATAGTAAAAAATACAGCATGTTCCATAGTTTGACAGTCTAAATACATAAAATTACATCCGTTTCTAACGACACTAGTAAAACCAATACAATCCAGACAGAGATTAACATTACAGTGTTCTACGAGTATTAACGCTCGATCAGAGGGTTCTTTGTTACTTGGAAGAGCTTAGGTTATATTTGCATTCAGTCTGGAATGCACCTGGAACCAGATAAGATAAGAGTTTCTGAGCTCGCCGCTAGGATCGTTGTCATCGAGCATCCTGCGCAGGTCCAAACTGGTGAGGCTAATTTTTACTTAGTTGTAGTTCTAAACAGTTACAATATCGAAAACACTCCAACAATTGTCATTAGATGTCAATTGACTTTCTATTATGTACAAAATAGTCGGTTAATTACATCACGCCCATATTTATTATCACGCCACTTAACATGATCTTATTTTAGGGTAAAAATTGTCTGAGGAAAACGGCCTTTCTATTCCAGGGGAAAACAATGTTTCGGGAATTAAGGTTTTAAGTTGTTAAGTTGGCCAACTAATAAAGCACTCAGATAAATAACATTGCAGCATGTAGCCTTTCAAAAGCCCATGGAAAGCATTTTCGTTCATCTTTTAAACTTTGAAATGGCACGTTTAACGAAAAAAAAACCAATACATTTGTAAGTTAGTGAATTTCGAACTTGAGTCCTCCACAGGACGAGCCCTACGCAACACGAACTAAGTGGCAGATGTTATCAATAAATATCCCACGTCACGGGTTTTTGTACGAACACAGCTGCACGCCAAGTAGCAGGAATATAGGATGGAATTCTAGACCAGTCTCCACTCTGAAGTTGGTTTAGTAATTCAGTGAATTTTTGTAAGGCTATCGCTGCTAAAAATTGGTCCAAGGTAGTGAAAAATGAGGCCTCCACCCTCTTATGTTTGTTCTAATCTATCTAGGTCTATATAGTATGCGAATAATATTTTGAGGTTCCCTATGCCTATGCACTGTATTCGAATTCAAGACATGATACAATTGGGCGTATGTGTAAACGTCACCATTAGCTGAAACATATATAACTAGTAATTTCCGTTATTGACAATGGTTCATGATCAAAGAAAATAATTACACGTTAAAGTGATTACCTACAACCTTCACAATATAGGTACAGTTAATTACAGATACTTTGGAATTATACCGAACACACTTAACTTTAGTTGATAAAACGGTTAGAGTAGGCTAAATGTTAAGGTTATGTAAGGAAAATTTTGTTTTGGAAGTAGAGCCATGGCCGGTATAATACCTAGGCCTATGTACCTAATTTGACACAGACAGTTTACTTGTTATCCCTCCCAATCCTAAACAGGTGAGGCAAAGATGTCTCTACGTTAAATACTTGTATCCTCGTCCTATTTGCTCGTTGAAAGGACCCGATCTCTTCCGTACCAGGATATCGATTGTCAGCAGCGAAACCAAAACCCAAAACCAGTCTGGGACAAAGAGCGGATACGGGACAAAGCCGGGACGGCAGCTGGTGCGCCCGGAAACCCGCAACCCGGCAAAAAACGGCCCCATCATCTGGCGAGGGACATGTGGCGCTAGGTACCACCTGACGTCACACCTGGGTCTGACCAGTGGCGGTTGAGATAGTGGAGATAACGTGATGGACATGGGGATGGACCTTGGGTTAGGCTGTGGAGGGTGGTGTTGCAAAATGTAGATGAAACCCTAGGGAATCGCGATGTAACATGACATTCCCAATTGTTGTCTCCTTAAAATTTACATCACTAATGTTTAAAAAACTTAACTTAACCCCTCCCCCTACGCTAAATAGGCCTATAACATCAAATCAGTCATCTAGGCTTAGTGAAACTTATTTTAACATACAGTGGAACCTTTTTCAAATCCCCTCAAAACTATTTTACCCTCAATCACATGTTATTAAAGACCTCGATAAGAAGTCAACCTTGATTATTATTTTACAATCCCCATGAGAGTCTTGTTATCAAGGTTCTACTGTATACAAATACAAAACTAATAATGATCTTAGTAAGGACATGGTTGGTTATAATGAATTTCCTGATAGCCCTGCTTGCATTCTGATAAGGGTTCTACAAGGGGTTGTATGCCTAATGTTATTTTTGGTTAGTAAAGATATGTTAACATCTTTCAAATATCAAACGTAAACATCATGCATTTACTATTAGTTTACTAAAACCTCCACATTTGCTTATTACTACCATCAAGTACCAATAAGATCATTTCCTACACTTTGAAGGAAGTTGACACTTATGTCAATCTGACACTTATGTAGCTTAGTTCATGATAGGCCTACATAACTAGCAACGAATAGAAAATGACATATCTACATTAGGCTATAGATCTGAAACATTCAAAATTGTCTTCACAAACCTTATAACCGACTACCAGCCTACTCTAAAGAAAACACGGTATAACAAATAAGGACCTAGAACTTATCACACCATGCAAACGTCGTGTTTGTGTAATAACCGAGTACAATAGGACGAGACAGAAGTAAAACAGGATGAAGCAGACTAGACCGGAGAGGAATTCTTTAAATTGGTGGAATGAGTCATAAAGCATGTAGTAGGCTCGGGCAGCCCATTCAAGGTCCCGGCTTGGCGGGAGGCTGACAAAGAACACTCGAAACCTAACCTACAATTTGGACACCAGTCCTGAACTCCAACGTTATCTGTAATCGATAATGATGTTCTCACCGTGTTAAATGTTAACGTTTAAATGTTTGTGTGTGGTCTAGGCTAAAATGTCATGACACAAATGATTTCGAGATAAACGTACTAAAAGTGATCATAACCTAAATGAACTACGTTTTGATAATACAGTAAATTCTGAACACTAACTTACATAGGCCTACTGTAATAATTATGACAAAGGTGGCTTTACCGTAAAATGTATATGTTGTAATAGTGTTTTAGTGTCAGGTAGTCTATATCAAGTACCTAGGCCTACCAAGTGTGATATAATTGACTATTATCTTTATCAAAGGTGACATTAATGAACTATAACCTATAATCACTGCATATGGGTTTAACGACAGTATATAGACCTACTTGTTTCTGTAAATATGTTAAACATTATAACCAGACCAATAGGAATCAGGTAGCCTAGACAAAATGTTATCAATAGTTTTAACTAACATAGTAGGCCTAGTTCTACATCTAAAAACGCAGACACACGTTTTCAATGACCAAAATAGTTAAATGACCATACACGTTTAGCCGATCTCTCAAAAAATACAAAGTAGGAAAGAACGAAGAGCCGATTTGTACAATAATTAGTGTTAGGTTTGAGAGTTGATATGAAATCATTGATCTACAAGACAACCCCGCCCTTGACTTCTACCCTCCCGCGCACCTACAAAACACAATCTCTACTCTACACTGAATCATACTCAAACTGCTGTAAATCCCAATAATGTACGACCTCATGTTAGTTGCTAGCATTGTTTAACATATGACTAGCAATTAGTTGATAAGTTAAGGGTTAGAGTAGAGTGAAACAATGTCGATTTATTACATTTTTAGAGGTGCAAGTCTAATTAAGTAATTTTAGACGAGTTGTTGATTTGTAAGTTGGTTTATTTGCAGAAAGCAAAACTTATCAAAACAGTTCCCCTACAGATCTATAACTATAGGCTATGTGTTGTATTTACCTTGTCGTCCAACGATCTCAGCAACGTGCTCGGAGCTAGGCACGGGCACACACTCGGTCATGTTCTGCGACTTCTTGTTGCGCGACTCCTCGGGCACGATGAATGGTGTAGGAAGTACAGGGGCGTCTTGTTCAACCGATGTAGCAGGAGGCGACGAAGAATCACTGAATCCTCCAGTACTCAACATGGAAAGTTCGAACGCCAACTGTAGAGCCCGCTGCTCTTCGAAACCTCCCGAACCACGGTCCATCTCGCAAAACATACTCCCCGGCATCTCACTGAAGCACTGTCCGAGCTGATGTCCGTAAAAACTTAACACTACAAAAATAAGACGACGAGAGCTATACGTCTGTACTGGGGGTGCCGGCTCGAGCGACTGAGCGTCGGCAGGACCGCGTGTGTGTACCGGCCGGGAGGGGAGGTGCCCGCCAAGCGCCCCCATTGGTCGACAGCACAGGGGTGGGGGGAGTTCTAAAATTACTTCAAACAGCACAGACAAAGAATCCACCACGTGGTGGGCTACACCGGCCGGCAGACAGCTGATCTGTAATTTGTACACATTGTTGAAAACTGTAAACACCACGAGTAGCAGCTAGTAAAAGTGTCCCGGGCAAGTTTTAATTCACTTGTAAATACTCGGCGACGTGCCGCTTCCTTCGGATAGCGTTGATATCGTGCATTGGCCTTGGAATTTGTATACAAAGTGGGATTGTCATAACACTTTAGGCCTAACACTTTAACAGTATAAACACACAGCATACGTCACTTGGGCCTACAACATTTACACGAACTAGAGTAATTCATTATCTTTCTAAACAGGCAAACGAAAAGGTTATTTACATTTCGTATACATAACATTGTACTTGGCAGTATTATTATATTAAAATAATAATATAATACTGTATTTCGTAACAATACTTAGCAGAGTTGGCGTTGACCATACAATATTGGAAACCTAGTTACAAACCTAATGTATCAAACCAAAAATATAAATGAAACATTGAACCCCATTTCAAGAATGGCACACTCGAATCTTCTGAACATTATCATTGTGTTCGTTGTAAGTTTCTCACTAAAAATGATTTACTATTCAAATATTCTTGAAATCTCTAATGAGAGGTGAAGAACTACTGATATTTTGAGGTAGATTTATTTCAAGAAATTTGACGTGAAAGAAGTGAACGGTATTGTGCAATGTAATGTCTGTCAAGTTTTTCAGGACAACCATACACTTCTGCAGACGCCTACTTTTTACAACTTTGTGTCAAGACAGTTGAGATCATTTTCAAGGCCCAATAGCAAATCATAACACTTTGGCTTTTATATGTTTGACTTTATATGCTAACGATATTAACACATATGTTAAACTCTCACAATGCTCACATTTTACATTCGAAATCGATACAGTGCGGTAGAGCCTCTGTTTCTGTGGTAGTAAAGTTTGCCAAGTTGTAGGCCTACATTACGCCATTGAGTTGCGACTTTCGACGGTCATCAAGGCTGTATTACTTGTCGAATATTAATAGCAGGACTGGATTTGAAACCCGCTCTGTACAATATGACATTGCTGTGGGTGGTTGAGGATGCTCGATTTCGATCAAATCATATGGTAAAAATGACACAAGTGGTTGAGAGGAGGTTGTTCTTTTTGGTAAATCGTTCAGATTTGCCTAACAGTTTCAATAAACTTAAGGTCACTAGTTTCAGTACTGCATACATATTATGTCTAGACCTACCAGTTTAATCTTTACTAGTTAAAGTTAAAATACTATGGTAAAACTATGCCCACCGGTCCAAATCTACTGCATACATATTATGTCTAGGCCTACCAGTTTCAAATCTTTACTAGTTCAAGTTAAAATACTATGGTAAAACTATGTCCACCGGTTCCAATACTGTAGCAACAGAATATCTAACAATTCAGTCCTAATTCAATACAGTACTACATAAGATGTATATCAGTTACAAAACAGTTGTAACACAAGTTGTACCATTTCCAATACAATACTACAGCAATGCACAGAAGAATAGACTTCCCATGTAATGTAAAAATTTGAAGCCAAAAACACGTGGTGCAATCTTTTGAGATGGTCACCAACTAATGGCAATATTCTGTGTCAAGTGATACGTCAATCAGCTGTTCGCTATGATACTGAATTGATATTATCTAGAAGTCGTCCAGTGGCCGAAAACTCGACCAAAAATATGTAATGTACAGACTTCTCTAGTTTCACCCCACCCTAATAAAACATGCGATTGGAAATTATTCCATTTGTTTTGATTTTCTGTTTATATTTCGTTGTTATTTCTGATGGTTCTGAACTTAATTTATTTTCTTGGCTTCAAATTTTTACATTACATGGGAAGTCTATTCAGTGCATAGTCAATGGTAGAACCATTTTAAACTGCGGTAACACATTTCACCAATTTCAAAACTAGGACACGATCTGACTTTTGCTAGTTGTACATATCTTATACATATAATTTTGCATTATTTGACGCTTTGACAGCCAATCTACTCTTTATCCCCAACGTCTCCCATGGTGGTACCAACGATCACATAGTGGTACCAACGGTGGTACACCGGTACTGGTACAGGCAGGTGCCGGCCGCTATGGTGTTCCTAGCAGGTGCGTAGTTAATGGTGTGTGTCATGTAATCAAATGTCTGTCTGTCTGTACACGCTATTTGTTGTCAACTACTGTCTGTATCAGGGGGAGGGGATGTCAGACAAACCGTAACGTTCCCTTGTATTACCAGAACTACACGATACTGTGTAGTCCTCACGAAAATGTAACAGCTGATTATGCAATTATTTGTATTCTATCACGAATACCTACTAGACAAATACCGGTATGGATCATAAACGTAAACAAATGACGTTATTGGCCCGAATCCTATACTAATAGCATTAAACATATGTTTTGGCAGTTCCATTTAAGCAATGTTAAATCATGTTTATTTTCGGGCCAAAAACGTCATTTGTTTATGTTTATGATCCATACCGGTATTTTTCTAGTAATCGTGTATTCTATATTAATTTGACAAAGTCGCAATGTTTTTTGGACTATAGGAATCCTACATAACATAAATTGCCATCTGCCCCCTTGTATTACCAGAACTACATGAGTACTGCGTGGACCTCACGAAAATGTAACAGCTGATTGTGCAATTATTTGTATTCTATATGAATTTGACAAAATTGCAGTGTTTTTTGGACTATAGGAATTCTACATAACATAAATTGCCATCTGCTCCCTTGTATTACCAGAAGTACTGTACTACTGTGTAGACCTCCCGAAAATATAACAGCTGATTATGCAATTATTTGTATTCTATATGAATTTGACAAAATTGCAATTTTTTTTACTATGGGAATTCTACATAACATAAATTGCCATCTACTCCCTTGTATTACCAGAACTACATGAGTACTACTGTGTAGACCTCACGAAAATGTAACAGCTGATTGTGCAATTATTTGTATTCTATATGAATTTGACCAAATTCCAATGTTTTTTTGGACTATGAGAATTCTACATAACTAAATTGCCATCAGGTTTTACTTAAAATTGCATCCTTTACTCTTAAATTTAGCCATAGAGTTCATTACAAATATGGACATATTGCAGAATAACCGTGTTAATGTTTACCAAATCCTGTGATATCCATTGGACCATTGTTGACAGCGGAAGTAGTTATACAGAAAAATTTATCTTAGACAGGCCATTTTGAAGTAATTACTCTTATCATTATCCTGCGAATTGTGTTATTTTGTATAAAATAATATTCGATCTAGGATCATGTATTTATTTTTTGCTACCGGTACATAAGTGGTTGAAATCAACAATTTCCATCAGCCGCTAGTGATTAAGTCTTCTCGCGTAAACATATATTTAGTTACTGACTCATGCTTTAAGTTTCTGCCGTCTGAGCACCAGATAAACATTCTGATGATAGGCAACTTACCATAATAGGCTACATCTACCATCTAAGTCTTAAAAATGGTCAAACAAATGTGTACTATATTTTAAGCTATAAACCCCCGAGTGGTGGTTGGGTTGTCTGTGGGGGTTTTGGGGGTTGAGAGGGTTGGCGGGAGGCGCGCCACCGTCTAGTTTCTAGTCCAGTTCCAGTGGTGTCTGCGAAAGAGCGCAGATTTTTAGTAAACCCACAAGCAAATGTGGCAAGGAAACAAGTAAACTCAACAACCAAAACAGTTGTGTAAATAACAAGTTATCATCATAAAATCCAATAGTCATTTTCACAAATTTTGTTCCACTATCATGTTTTCCAAAGGTAAAATATCTAGTGAACTCAAGAGACCTCGCAAAAAATTGTGTCGATAACATATTTCCATAATTAAATCAGTAACACAATTTATCCATGCTTTAGCATTACCAATTGAGATGGGACGCAACTGGACGTGTGTATAAGCCCGAATGTGAGTAAATAAATATATAATGTGTATATATAATGGAGTGAGATGCCTTGTGTAGCTTTGTTACTGAGACTACATGAGACGATGGCAAGACCTAATGTATATCTCCTCTGCGCTAAACTAGCATTTTTTTGCCAAAGGCTGGGTCCACTTTCAAACAAAATGTTTCCGACTTCTGTCAACCTTTAAACCTTATCCCAGGATATCCAGGAATCCCAAGGACTCATTGACCTTATCGATGAACCAGATTCATGCGGAAGTTTACCCCAAGGTCCCTCCAGTCAGACTCGCTCCCCTACCCACCGCAACCCTACAGCCCTCAATCTTTCCCACGAGCTTTTGTTCCTTGAGCTTTTGTCTCTTGTAAACGACGGTTGCGAAACCGGGCCAGTTCTCACCACTTCTTGATCCCGGAGTAAATATTCAACAGTCTCGGATTCGGCTGATCGTCTGGTCCTCCAGACTTCCGGATCAGCTGATCAGCTGATGTCCCGGATGCACCCTCTACCTAGGGAGGGTATCCCTGGTTTTTATTGTAGAAAAAAACCCTGCCGATTTAAAGAACCTTTTCTAAGGTGCGCGAAAAATGGTTGGATCACATTGCATGGGAGGGTGTAGAGGATGTAGAATTGTTATTGTTCTCAATTGGTGCTATAGTGTAAGGAGAGAAGTGCCTGAACAGCTGAACAGCTAGATCCGATTAATTTGTGTGAATTCAAATTTATGCCATGAAGTTTTGAACTCCTGTTTGGGAAATATGTATTTCGGCAAACTATCGTTTATACACGCGCACGAGAAGCTTACACGTCGATAGCTTTTCTTTATATTTAAATGTAGGTTTGTCGATATATGACAAAATGTTCGTTGAAAATGAGATTTTAAATCTGTGAAGTTCGCAATATTGGTCTCTAGAAAAACTGTTTTAAGTCCAAATGGCTGTCAGGAGAAACAAAAATAAATTTATAGTAATTAGTATCCTAGTACTACCGTGTGGTTTGAGAATCTATGTTGACATCGACCAGTCCAAAAAAGCTTATTTTGTTTGTCATATAGTGCTGAGAAAACAATTATCAAAAGCATGCTTTGACTACAAGAAAACGCTTATTCCAAATTGATTCACAACAAATAGTATCGGAAGCAGCTAAACAAATGTTTTACCTTTTTTTAGAGGGTTGGCGAAAGCTCTTAAAAAGATAACGTATGTTGGAGAATATGAAAGATAGGAGAGACAAATATATTTAACACCCAGGTCCTAGTGGCTCTGACCAAAAGTGAAGTCTTAAAGTGGGCAAGCCAAATGTAAAAGAGAGATGGTACAGTACTTTAAACGTAATAATCTAACCTCTAGGAAATTCAAGAATGATGTAGAAAAGGCAAGCGTTATATCGAAAGAAGGGATTGAACGAAAGACATCAAGAATGTGGTCTGCTTTGTAGAATAGAGGCAGGTGAAAGAAGGGAATGTATGCAAAATTTTTACGAGGCCAAGAACCTTTTAAGGTGTCAGTGGCCACGGGGTAAGTTAAGGTAAGTAATAGTATCCAATGGAAGTTGGTTTGTAGCTTCTTATAACCAGTATGGAAATCATCCCAAAATTTCACTCAAAACATTTCCTACACATCAACAATGCGTTAAATAAAAAAAATAATTGATCCAAATAGATTGAAAAACTTCTACATCTATAGCTGAATGACACGTGTAATTGGCGAGATATACAAAATAAAGGAAATTTACATAATATAGTTGGCATGATTTCCTACATTTTACTCATCCAAATCTTACTCCGTGGCACACTTTTCATCACGCCACAGTAATTTGAAAGCGATTCATTAAACAAATACATAAAACATTGGCAATAAACATGGCGACGGGATTAAGTGGCACGCAATAAAATTGTAATAGAACAAATCGTGCCCGACTGAGGTTGGTATCATTTACATGTTAATGAGCACTGGTGTGCGTGTGTGTGTGTGCGTGACGGCGGTTCCCGTCCATAACAGGCACCACGTCAGTTGCAACCCTTATTTATAAACATCCCCTTCGAATCTCAAAAGTCAAAACCCCCTAGACCTCTTTAACTATGGTTGTATTAGCATATGACAATTAGGATATTGTTTATAGGGGGCGTTCATTAATAAACAAGTGGCTGAAGTAATTTTATGACCAATGCGTCGTTAAATAATATGGTGATTTGCTCTGTGTGGTTTTCAATTAATTAGGTTGCCTTAAAATAGAGAAACTGTGGTTTATATAGTCATATATTGACATAACTAATGCAAATGTTCTATTTGTTATTTTCGTTTAATATATGCGTTATTAAATTATATTTTATGGCTGATTTCCCTCTACTTTACTATTGCATTATAAAGTCTTGCAATTGACTTTGGATACTGATATTACGTTTAAGTTCTGAATATTTTATACTAAAAACATGCTACTGAAAGCTATATAAAGACATCCTTATTATATATTCACACCAGAAAGAAAATGTTATTCTATTTACAGATAATCACTGATGTTTGATCAATGGTTAAAATTTATCAGACTTTTGTATACTAGTTTCCCTTGCTTATCCACATTTGAACTCTTAAATATTTTTAGAATTACAATGACATTTTTATAACAGAAGCTGATTTTCTGTGACAAAACGGAAGGCTTTGATATTGGAACTTCCCCCTTGAAAATGAATTTTTAATCTTGGAGTGTGCCTTGGAACAGAATCAATACAGCTGATAAACGATTTCCTGCTACAAAATAATGTTGGTTATTACCTCCCTAAAATTCTATAACCATTTTGAATAAGGAAGTATTCTTTGAATTAGAATTAGAAAAAACTGATAACCAATTTCATGCTGTACAAAAACACATGTTACTTTCTATGTTTGTTTGAACGTTCTCTTGCAACTGTAGATTTTTTAGCGTCTAATATACTACCTTGAAATAAAATTGGAACGAATCTATATTCAATTTAATTTGCTGTATGGCACAGTATCAATTATCAAGTAGAGTATAGGCCTACAGTTTCGACGCATTTTCTTGGTCAAAACATATTAAATTGGGGATGTACATGGATACACAAAATGACTAATACTTTAAACATTCATACTTCTAAACACTTATTTAGCTTAACAAAACCAAACAGTTAAGACATTCGATGTCCTAGCATACACCTATACATTTTTCTTCATCAATTTCGATTACCCATCAATACAAGC